CGAGCGTCCGCCCAGTTTCTCCGCCTCCGCGTACAGATTATTCAACGTCTGGATCGTCTCCTCGAACTGCTGCTTGTCCACCTGCACAAACACACGAGGGTTTACTCCTCAGGGTGTTAAACACGACGGAACATTGAGGGTTTATGAATCTGAGGGACGTTCAAGACGAGGAGATTTACTCTTGTGAGGTTTTGTCTGTCACACGTCACATTCACATCTCCATGTTCCTTTTGTTGTTCTGAAAATGTTTTATTCACCAAAACAACAGATTCACAGGTTTTAGAAGATTCACTTTTGTTTCTGTCGTCTTTGTTGAGTCTCTCCTCCTTTTGCTCTCTGTGCTGAGTCCCTCCCCCTTCAGAGCACTAACACACACACTCGTTGTTCGTCGCACTAATAAAACTCCTGCACAAACATCAGGTTTGTTCAGTCGCTGTGTTCACTTTTGTGTCATGTTTTTGTGTTTTTATGTAGAGTTGTGGTGTGGGAGCATGTGGGCGGAGCCTCGTACAGACTCGTGCTGTGGGAGCGTGTGGGCGGAGCCTCGTACAGTCTCGTACTGTGGGAGCGTGTGGGCGGAGCCTCGTACAGGACAGCTCTGTTTTTAGGAGCTCAGTGTCTCTGTAAATGTTCAAAACGGGTCTAAACTCACAAATGTAACACACAGAAAGATCAAACAAAACTAAACCGGTCTCGGGTCCCGGTCTCGGGTCCCGGTCTCGGGTCTCGGGTCCGGTCTCGGGTCCCGGTCTCGGGTCCCGGTCTCGGGTCCCGGTCTCGGGTCCCGGTCTCGGGTCCCGTCTCGGGTCCCGGTCTCGGGTCCCGGTCTCGGGTCTCGGTCCGGTCTCGGGTCTCTGGTCTCTAGTCTCGGGTCCCAGTCTCACCCGGTTCTCGAGCTCTGAGGGGATCTTGGTCTGGAACCTGCAGGTGGTCCCTGAGGTGTAATCTCTCTGGATGAAGACTTTGGACGAGCCCGGAGGAGTCTGCAGCTCCTGGAGGCTGTGGGTCTGAGAACAACACCAGAACATCAAGATCATCAAGAACATCAAGAACACAGGAACAGGAGAACATTTCTGTATCATTTAGGGTTGAAAAAAATAAAAATAAAATAAATAATAATAACAATAATTCTGCATCCATTTTAATTTGACTAAAAATAAAAATAATAATTTGACCAAAATAACAATTAAAAAAAATAAATAAACTGCATCAATTTGAATTCGACAAATGAGCCACAAAAAGAGCAGAACATTTATTTTATTATCTACACGAGCTCGTACTTTACTCAAACAAAAATCAAAAAATTTAATGAAAACAGGACAGAGAACAAAAAATTTCTCTTTGTTCTGTTTCTTTTCGTTCATTTTTTGTGTTTGATCTTAGTGTCACTATTAAAATCTTTTTAAACTTTATGAACAAAATAAACAAACAAATAAATAAATATAAGCCTGTCTTTCCTCAGGGAATGGAGAGTCTAATAATAAACAAAATAATCTAAATAAACAGTTTCGTGGTTGTTTTACGGTTGTTTTGTTGTTATTTTACGGTTGTTTTACGGTTGTTTTGTTGTTATTTTACGGCCTCAGCAGCAGCAGCAGCGCCCCCTCGTGTTCAGCAGCGACATCAGAAAAACATTCAATTAAACTCACGTTTTTTCCCTCAGATTTGTCTCTAAACTCCATTTTAATCCCCGTAACATCTTCTCTGTGTGTGAGTTGAATAAATCCACACGAGCTCAGACTGTGAAACGCGTTTATTCTGTTTTTTTGGAGTTTGTTCAGAGACATTTAAATCTCCGCTCAGGCTACATGCTAACAGGCTAACATGCTAATAACACGTTTGTTTACGAATCTGCGCGCAGGAAACAGCGACACGTTTTACATTTAAGACACAAATGAGCCACGATGTTCATTAAACCTAATTAGAGCCCCGCGTGCGCACGTTTTCCCCGAAATCCGAGCGAAATAAAGATTTAAAAACACAAACCTCGGCCATGGCTGCTGCCTCCTCCGCCCCACTTCCGTCAGACCCAACGTCACTTCCGGTTCACTAATGAAACACGTTTTATATTTTTTATTTTTTTCAGTTTTAAACCACAAAAAAAAAATAATAATAATAATAAAAAAAAAATATAATAATAATAAATAAATAAACCAGCGCAGACACAAGAGTAAACAAAAGCATTATTAGATCATCGACACGACATGTTTGTAATTTGTGTTTTGTTCATTATTCTGGCAAAATTTACAAGAAGTTTTAAGTGAGTAGAACATTTCTGTATCATTTAGGGTTGAAACTAAAATAATTATATAAAAAATATAATTAAAAAAATAAAATAAATAAATAATACAATATTTTGCACAATTTTATCATTTTAATTAGACAAAAATAATAATTTGACCAAAAATAATAACTAAAAATTTTTAAAAATCTGTGTCCATTTGAATTTGACAAATCAGCCGCAGAAAGAGCAGAACATTTATTTTATTATTAGAGCCTGTTCTTTTTGCATAAATGTTGTTTTAATCGGTTCACCCAATTTCTAAATCTTCCTAATTATATTTCGGGTTCACCTACTTTATTATTTTTACTACATTAAAACTCTTTAACGAACTTTATGAACTTATTTGGATGCTTTTTGTTTGTTTATTTTTTTTAATCATTTTTTTTTTCTTTTAAACTATGAACCGAACAATATTTGTGTGTGAAATAAAAATATTAATAATGATAAATAATAATAATTGTGCATTAAAATGTGACATTTGTGAAATAAAGTTGAGGTCGTGCGGGGTGAGACGCGCATGCGCAGAGGAGCGCACGGTGTATTCTGTATAGTTTATATATAAATTCTGTTTGTTTGTTTTTTTCTGCGTGTTTCTTCTTGTTTTTTTGTGCATTTTCCGCGTGTTTAAGACACGGGACACGGTCACTCTTCAGCCTCACGGACGCGCCGCTGTTGGACTTCAGGAAAAGGTTAAAATCTTAAAGTTAATGTCAGATTTCCAGAGTGGTGCTAGTCGTTAGCCTTTAGCATTACTTTAGCTGTTACTTCTGTTTGTTTATTTGAATAAAACTGCACAAACTGGATAAATTTAACTCATAAAACGTCACATTTACCGCGTTGTGTAATAATCACAGAAAAATCCCGTATAATTGAGGGAAACGTGTGAGTTTTGTGGAGGTTTGTGTGGCCCTGTTACCCGTTAGCCGTTAGCATGTAGCTCATGCTTTGGTTTGACGCTTAAAGCTGCACTCTGGAACTTTTCTGCTGCACGTCTGGTTGTCTCCACGGTGATCTTAATGCTTTGCCTGTAATGTTCCACCGTATGGCATTAAACACGTAGATCTTAGATTTATTCAGTTCTAGCTGTTTTTATTTCTCTAAACTCCAGGAAAAAATATTATCATTATTATTATTTTATTTGTTATTATTATTTTTTTATTTCAATTTTTTATTTTTATTTTATTATTATTTATTTTTGTATTTATTATTTGTATTATTATTGTTATTATTTCAATTTTTTATTTTTATTTTATTATTATTATTTTTTTATTATTGTGACTGAGCGGTTCACTGCTCCACAGATCTGACCTGTCACCTGCCCTGATGATGTGGTCTGCTCGTCTCCATGGAGAACGTTAGTTTAAAAGCCAAACTGTGGAATATTTCATAAAAAACAACAACAACAACATGGAGTTTGGGGCTGAGGATCGTTCAGAAGTTTTCGATACGACACAAACATTGATTTGATACGATATTTTTCAACCAGATTCAAAGCAGTTTAATAAAAAATAATGTTCTAAAAGTTTTTGTTAAACCACGTCTTTGCAAAATTCATATGAAACAGAAACATTTGAATCCTCAGAACAGTAAAAATGTCAAATAAATGTCAAAATAATTTAGTCAAATAAACCAAAAAATCCTCTTGGTGATCAGAGCTGTGCAAAAATATCTAAATATCGATATATCGTCTGGTTTAATGAGCTGATTCAGTATCGATATCGTGTTCTGTTGTATCGATATTTCACCAAGAGGATTTTTTGGTTTATTTTATTAAATGATTTAGTTTTACCTTCAGTTTTGTTTGTTCAGAGGAAAGAAACTGTTCTGTTCTGAAACGGTTCTGGTCTCAGTCCCGGTCCCAGACTCGGTCTCAGTCCCGGTCTCAGTCCCGGTCTGAGTCCCGGTCTCGGTCCTGGTCCCGGTCTCGGTCTCGGTCCTGGTCCCGGTCTCGGTCCTGGTCCCGATCTCAGTCCCGGTCCTGGTCCCAGACTCAGTCCCAGTCTGGTCCTGGACCTGGTCAAACGGGAAACAGTTGTATTTTTGGTTTTAGATTGAAAAGCGACTGATCCCCAGACTGACGCTTGAGTTTGTGATATTTCCACGCACACACATGTAGAACCCCCTGATATTTCCACGCACACACATGTAGAACCCCCTGATATTTCCACGCACACACATGTAGAACCCCCCTGCGTGAGCACGAGTATCTGACGTGATTCTCTTTGTTTTCTGTTGTTTTTTTGTTTGTTTCCAGTGAAATATTTTCCAGGATGACGCGTCACGGGAAAAACTGCACGGCCGGGGCGGTTTACACGTACCACGAGAAGAAGAAGGACACGGCGGCGTCGGGATACGGCACCCAGAGCGTCCGCCTCGGAAAGGACGCCATCAAGGACTTCGACTGCTGCTGCCTGTCGCTGCAGCCGTGCAAGAACCCCGTGGTGACGCGCGACGGCTTCCTGTACGAGAAACAGGCCATACTCGAGTACATCCTGCACCAGAAGAACGACATCGCCAAGAAGATGAAGGCCTACGAGAAACAGAAGCAGGCGCAGAGGAGCACGGACCAGAGCGAGTCCAAGAGCGTGGAGAAGGAGAAGATGGAGAAGTTCAAGGTGTGTGTCCGAGGGCTTCAGCCGCCTCTTTATTTATGGATTTATTGATTTATTGATTTTACACTTGAGCTGTTACTTTGTAAAGAGAACAACAACAACAA